TCGTCTACAACATTTACCCCAGCCCTCTCTCCAATAGGGGATGTCATGGCCGTAGGAACCGGGGGGGAGGGGCTAGGGGGGGCGTGCCCCCCCCTAATTTTGCCGATATATAGATTACTATAGAAAACATAGCTGCTATATGCTTGTGTCCCCTCAATAAAAATGTCTGATGACCTTTTTTTTTTATTGCTTGTCAAGGAATTTTTGGTAGTTGATAGTGCCCCCCCCACTTACAATGTATAGCTGTGCCCCCCAAACTGAAATTGCTTCCTAGGGGCCTGGATGTTTAGGGGTCAGCAGGGGTCGGCAAACACCATGCCTCATCCAAGCATTCAGAAGGAAAATATCAAGGATGTGACAAAATCTACAAGAACTTAAACTCTAAATTTTAAATTATAAGTCACTTTGTAGTTCGGCTCAAAGGATTAATAGGGGTCACATGACCATTTAATATTAAAAGAATAGTGCCCCATGCATGTACAACTGCATATGCTATTAAACCCAAAGTCTATACAGTACAGAGTCAGTAGGCAACATAACAAAGGTATCCACTGGATGTGATATACAAAGGCTTACAAATAAATTCAATGATAAAATATGAACGGAGGTCAACTTTTCGAAAGTAATCACACTATGTGATAGAAAGCCTGTTAATCACTTACTGATAAATCCAAAGTATCTAAAAGAGGATCAGTTGTCAACTTGTCAAAGGTAAGCATTTATTGTGACATACAGAGAATTCATTGGATACTTACCAATATATCCAAATTATCGGAAAGAGCATCAATTGACAATGTATCAAATATTCCCCAAAGGTGTCTGACTGAATGCACGTGAATTTTCATCAGATACAAAAAAAGAAGCTTTTTCTTTGTTGCATTCACCTTCATCAAATAGGATATCCTCTATGTTCTTACGTAAGAATAAGGTGGGAGACACATACACCATTTACAGGTAATGTTGGAATATTGCTGCATAAAGAAGGAAAGTTGACGATGGAAAAGACGAAGTCATCCCGTTTGTCATACAGTTTAGTTATAAGTTGGTTATTATCGACTAAAGTCAATATGAAACGTATGTTACAGATTCTGTAGTGTCTTTAATTTCGAGTTCACTGGGATATATCGAGTCGACACATGAATGAAAGTAACTATTGTTAATTTATAAAACGTCGTCTATATAACTAAATGTCGAGTTTTAGGCCACAGCAATAGTTTTCTTTTTCCCCTTTAGGAGTTTGTGAATAAATTTGCTTTTGGAATGTAAAAGCAGGTCGGATAATAAAAGGGCACAATTAGTGCCCATCGAAATTCCAACAGATTGTTGTAAGATTCTTTTACAAGGAACTTACGACTAAGACCAAAAACTTTAGTTGATTGTAAAATTTTGTAAAATTAATTATTCTGTTTTAAATCGATAGCATAAAAGTATTTTTTAAAATTCTTTTTAAAAGGATTAAAACAATTTTCAAATCAATGTAAAATAGAATGTTATGAGCAGATTTAAATTTTGGTCTTAGTCGAAAGTTCTTTTGTAAAAGGGGCACCTGGTCTCCAAAGACTACATAAATGTTGTCAATGAGGAACTCCAGCATCATTTTAATATCAACTTCAGAGTACTTGGGAGTAGAATCAGAAAGATTTTTAACGAAGCAATTTTGTTGACAAATCACAAGACATGCAAATGTACGAGTTCCATTTTATTGTCTTTAATATCAAAACACCTGGTTGTAAAATGGTTGAATAAAGTGTAGAAAAGTCATAAGTTTTGATTTTACTAAATTTTGGAAAAAAATGATTTTAAATTTTTGAAAAAAGTCTTTTGAGTTTTTGAGAATCTACATTTGATGAACACCATTTCTAGAATATGCTGTAGCACACACAGTACGTCTTTTTTTATCCCTCCACAGCAGTTCATATTTTTGTAAGGAGTAAAGATAGGGGCTTGGTAGAGCACTTGCTGGACCCAACAACGTATCTTTTTTTGTAAGGATTTTTATGAAGTTTTGGAACCAGTGTAGGTAGGGTAGATCGAACTCATCTTCATTGACTGGAATGTTAAAAGTATGAAAGACTGAATGAATTAATCCCAAGAAATGTTTTCCTTGAAATTGTCAACAAACAGTAAGATATATTGTCATTTTTTTTTCCATTTGAACGAAATACAAGATATCGTTCAAGGATTAACATATAGTTCAGATTCTAGTGTCAACTGATCTTCAATGCTTTCACACCCCTCATTTCACTTTATTTATCTTTATTGTCTCATTTGCCTGCTTTTAGTGACAAAATCTTTATCCTGTTGACATTATTTGTGTTTGGATACAAGCTTACTTTTTACTCAGATTTACCATGCGTCACCACACGTATACCATTTTCTCTCTGCCCACGTGTCAAAACAATACCAAATATATATCCAATAACTGCCGTCTACAACAGACATTATTGTTTTGTACGCCATGGGTTCAGAACTTAGTCAAATTGCCATGAAGGATACCAGAAAGTACTATAGAAGAAGGAAGGTAAGCTATAGCATGTAGAGGTAGACAACAGGTGACAGGAGGCAGGTAAATTTTGACAGTGTTTATCTGTAGATTCTGGTATGGACATGATGATGCTAGATTTCCTGACTTCAAAGTGTCTGTGAATTTTTAGTGGAACGCAAAATGATACTGCCTTATCAGAAAGGTTGGAATGCAACTTCCATTTGTTTTAAGGTTTAAATAGATGCTGAATATAAAAAAAAATACAATTCTAGACGACGTTGAAGAGTTCTTTCTTGTTGTGTGATGAGTTGATAATGTCCAAACCGCTCTTTTTGTATAAAACGGATTAAATTCCCTACCAGACAGTAGAATTTTTCACGGAAATGAAATCGAGATAGGTTGGAGTACAATTGCCTTCTCAATGCTAGTTTTATACATTAAAAATGCTTTGAGAAGACTTAACTTAATATATCTGTCTGTTCATCCGTCTGTCGGTCCGCCTCTCTGTCTATCAGTGTGTCCCACTTGGTTTTCGCACTTTTTTAAAAGCTTGCAGATTTTTGGTATTTGATTGTACCTTCATGAATTGCAGATCAAGTTTATATTTCGCTCTGCGTCAGTGATTTGATGGAATTATGGGCTTCCCATAAGTAAAATATACATAGTTAACTTTAGTAAATTAAAGTTTCAAAGTTATCACTATAGTTAATCAAAGTTTTCAAAGTTATCACTATAGTGTCATATAGTGATCACTGTAGTAATCAAAGTGTTCACTTTAGTTAATCATAGTTTTCAAAGTTATCACTATAGTTAATCAAAATGATTTCACAACTGCATATAATGTTTTGTGATAGAAGTCTCAATTAGTTTCACATTAATTGCACAACATAGATAATATCCCGTTTTACAGATTTTCTCATTTTACCAAAGTTACCTGGCCCCAAGACCATAAACTGAGAACAGACATAAGTCAAAATTTCAAATTGATATAACTTTTGAAATAATTTTGATAATAGAATAAAATTTTCATCATATAATTGAATTGAAGTGTTTTGCACATCTGCAAATTTTTAAGCTAATATATTGAATGAAACTTAAGATACTAAAAATTAAAATTTTGACTTAAGTCTGTTCTCAGTTTATGGTCTTGAGGCCTGTTGATGTCATTCCATGCATGTTGTATGCAGTACAGTTTATTTAAAAAAAAATCCATAATTCTTTTGGAAACCTCATGTTTTTCAATGACTGCTACTGGCTTAACATTTCTAAAATGAATATTGTTTGTTTTTCATTTTACTTTATCTTTTTTATATTAATAAATTAGTAAATTACATTATATTAATATCATTTAGCAAGATGTATAGAGTTATCATCTTATATACAACGATATAAAGTATATTAGATTTATAGCCATAGTAAATCAATGTTTTCATAGTGATCACAAAAGTATTTAAAAGTTTTCATAGTTACCATTATAGTGTCATAGTGATCACTATAGTAAATCAAAGTTTTCAAAGTTATCACTATAGTAAATCAAAGTGTCAAAAGTATCACTATAGTTAACTATAGTTTTCACAATGTCGAAGTTATCACTTTAATTAACTATAGTTTACTATAGTACTTTTTGTAAGTTTTTTTTCAATTATTTTTAAAGGGAAACAGATTACACTTGCTGGTAGGGAGATAGTATTGTTTATAAATGCAATACTCTCAGAACGCTTGTTGAATTACATGTAGTTACAGGTTTGTTTGTTTGTATGTTGTTTAACGTCCCTCTCGAGAATTTTTCACTCATATGGAGACGCCACCACTTGCCGATGGAGAGCTGCTTTTGTCCTATACTCGGCACTTACGGCCATTGAGCAGTGAGGGATCTTTTTCGTGCCAGCACCTACTGCGACACGGGACCTCGGTTTATACGGTCTCATCCGAAGGACCGGTCTCCAGGTCCCACAGTGGGATTCGAACCCGCGACGTAAGGATCAACTCCTTTCTCCGCGACTCTAGAGCGAACGCTCTAACCACTGCGCCACGCGGGCGACGTAGTTACAGGTCATTGACAATTATCAGTTTATGATTAGTTAAGTGGTCTAAGTTAATTGACATTTTGTGTCACTTGTCATGGAAATGCTATCTTAATGACTCAATAATAGTCTTATTTCGCTTTTCTTGAAGTCACAACCAATTTTTTAATTTTACAAATGCCATCGCTACTCTGGTTCAGATAATGGGTTACATAAAGGGGGTTTATTGATCGTGGTGAAATTAAGTACAAACCCGCATAGAAAAATTGGCTCCACATTGATACTCCCCGTTAGGTTCCACTTTAAATGAGTAGGTATGGGCATTGACATTTATCTATCTAGGTCCCTTAAAACTAATTCGGAAAGAGAAATTTCATACTTTGGTGCCCAAAATGCAAATTGTTTGTTACATGTACACTTTTGGCTTTTGTTGGGACAATGAAAAAATCCTGCCGATATTCTCAATTATTTTTTTTCTTTTACACAAACAGGAAGCGTTTATGACAAAGGAGCACCGGCCTGTACAACCGTCCACTGGTCCGTCAAACTCCAGGGGGAGTATTTCTACAATGTCCCGGGGCAGTATCAAAAGTGACCCGTTTACAGAGGAAACCAGCAGTATAAGTGCCCGCAGCGACACCAGCGCAGATAGTCTCATATTTGATCCCAACTTTGGTGAGTAGTTTTATAAATTAATCTAAGGAGTGGTCATCATTTTACAGTTCAACGGTTACTGAAACAATACAGTGAAATTGACCTTCTCTCCCAAAAAAGTTACATGTATATACCAATTTTTTTTTTTTTTTTTTTTTTTTTTTTTTTTGTTTTGTTTTGTTTGAAATTATTTCAATCCCTTTTTTTTTCCTTTTCTAACTCTTAAAATGGAAAAAATGTCGTTTCAGGGAAAAGTTATATGACATCAGTAACACAGAATCAAGTGTTGATTTTTAAAAACTGATATGAGAGACATAATACGATATATAATGTATAGAGCCAGACAACTGAAAGATAAATTTTAACAATCTGTTGCTTCCGTTATCTCTAAATGTCACTTGTATAAGAGGATTTTGTTTTCAGGGGAATGCAATGTGTTTTATTATATAATAATACCTCATTAGTCTTAATGTGGCATTAAACGGCAATAATATTGCATCATGAAACATGCGCACGTGGTTTTAAATTGAATAAATTGAAAATTTGTAGCATAATTCTTTTTTTCATTTTTACGTAAAATTACTGTTAAGAATTGTTATACGTGCAATAACCTTTTTACACTAATTTTACAGGTGCTATAAGACCGGATCTGTATCCCAGGAAGGATGCAGTACTTCAGCAGTCCTCTGTGGAGCAGGGCAGGGGTAAACTACATATCCGAATCAAGTACGACTTCCGGACCTCAGATGTCCTCGTCCACCTCATTGAAGGTGAGGTTACCTTGATTCAGTGTGCAGATCATTTCATAAATTTACATTATTACACATACACTTTGATGTCGCCTACAACTGGTAGAAACTTATAACTAGTCAAATAGATACTAAAACAATCGTTTAAGTTCTTCATTTTTATTAATACTGAAATGACACATATAACACTATATAGCGATATATCGGTAGAATTAAAGCTCTGTAAAATTCGTATTATAACTGTCATCTATTTAAGCTATGACAGTATTCTTTGTTATTTCCAATATGTGCGTTATGAAAATTAAGTTATTTCTGTCAGGAACTTAAGCAATAAATGTCTCTAGATCTTTTAAGTAACACCACCATCTGCTTAGTAGTGATATTTTTACTTAAATGTTGTTTTTCTTTTAAGCTCAAGAACTTGTGGTGGATAGATCATTTGATCAGGAAGGGGGATTTGGAGATCCCTACATCCGGATTAGTATGGTTCCGGAAGTAGATGAGAGAATACGACAATCATCTGTCAAACGCAGAACCCACAATCCGTTTTATAATGAATTCTTTAAGTTCCCGGTGACACTTGACGAAGTGAAAGAGCGGACATTGATTTTTCAGGTCTTTGACTTTGATAAGTTTTCCCGTCATAAAACACTGGGTGAAGTTAGTGTCAATTTGGGTCAAGTCGACGTCACAAACAGCGTAGAGATGTGGTGTGACATTCAAAAGCAAAGTCAGGTACTGGTCTTAAGTTATAAATATCTTACCTACACAAATCATACAAGAATTTAAAGTTATAAATATAATACTTACAAATCGTACAGGAATCTTAAGTGAAAAATATCTTACCTACAAAAATCATGCATTAATCTTAAAAGTAATAGACAAAAAGTACATGAATACTAAGTTATAAATATCATAACAATCGTACATGAATCGTAAGTTATAAATATCATACCTACAAATCGTACACGACTCATAAGTTATAAATAACATACCTGCACAAATCGTACCTGAATCTAAATATAAATAACACAGCTACACAAATCGTACCTGAATCTAAATATAAATAACATAGCTACACAAATCGTACCTGAATCTAAATATAAATAACATAGCTACACAAATCGTACCTGAATCTAAATATAAATAACATACCTGCACAAATCGTACATGAATGAAATACGGAGATAACAGTATTTAAAAGTCCATTAAAACAATACAAATCGGGAGCAGAGCAAACACGGAACTAAAAAAAAGCATCAGAGGTCACACACGTTGTGTGCTCATCGTCATGATCGGGCAAACAGTAAAATTAGTAGACAATTAAGTGTTTAAATGATGACCTAATAATTAGTATCTACACATCGTACATGAATCTTATGTTATAAATAGCATACCTACAAATCGATCATGAATCTAGTATATTAATTACATACCTACATAACATACCTACACAAATCGTAAATGAATCTTTAATTATAAATAACATACCTACACAAGGCGTACATGAATCTTAAGTTATAAATAGCATACCTACACAACTCGTACATGAATCTTTAATTATAAATAACATACCTACACAAATTGTGCATGAATCTTAAGTTATAAATAGCATACCTACTCAAATAGTACGTGAATCCTTAATTATAAATAGTATACCTACACACAGAGTACGTGAATCTTTAATTATAAATCGCATACCTACACAAATCGTACATGAACTTTAAGTTATAAATAGTATACCTACACAAATCGTACATGTATCTTTAATCATAGATAGCATACCTACACAAATCGTACATGAACCTTAAGTTATAAATAGCGTGCCTACACAACTCGTACGTGAATCTTTTATCATAAATAATATACATACATAAATCGTACGTGAATCTTAAGTTATAAATAACATACCTACATAAATGGTATGTGAATCTTAAGTTATAAATATCATACCTACACAAAAATCGTACATGAATCTTAAGTTTTGAATAACGTACATGTATCTTATGAAACTCAAAGCAAGCTTCATTTGTTTGCTAACATATTCTTGCGTTCTTTGAATTTGTTTTTTATCATAGTTTGTAACACTTTTAGTTATTAAAAATAACTTTTACTACTTTTTTTTATAAACAATGTTCATAACTGTAGGTTTGAGCTGAGTACAACAAATATGAAGTTTTTGTCGGACCTAAAGCTAACTAATTTGACAAATATGAAATGCTGTTATTATTTTACAGCACAATGATATGGGTGAAATTTTACTGTCCCTGAGTTATCTCCCCACGGCCGAGAGGCTGACGGTAGTCGTGTTAAAAGCTACAGAACTTGTGATGACTGCAGCGGGAGGATCCTGTGGTGAGTCGTCCCACATTCTTTTATTTACTGACTTATAAACTAAGATTCAGTTAACTGTTCGTCTTAATAAGCACGACTTTGATAAATAAATTGATATTTGATTTGTTTTATTTCGGTTAGTTTTAATTGTCGTAGAATAGTAAAAGCATGCACTTTTGACAAAAAGAATTTTTTTTTAGAAAAATGTGAAAGAAATAAGATTAATAGCCTCTCAATAATAACAATCTTTTCCTCTACAGACCCGTACGTACGGGTGTCACTTGTTGTGGACGGGAAGAAAGTTAAAAGAAAGAAAACCTCTGTCAAAAGAAGTACAACAGCTCCTGTCTGGAACGAGGCATTGACCTTTAACATTTCCTCAGACATGTTGTCAAAGTGTAACCTTGAGGTCACGGTGCTTGACCATGATCTGATAGGTCACGGTGAATTTGTTGGACGATGTATTATAGGACCAAACAGACCGGAAGCGGAAGGTAAACATTGGAATGACATGCTTAATAACCACCGGAAGTCGATGGCAATGTGGCAACACCTTTATAGACGATAACGTTTTATGTGTTTTCCAACTATTCATCACAATTCTGTTTTTTTATCTTATTCATCAAAAGAAAAGTGCTTTATGAAGAGTGATTTCATATCCCATCTCGCGAAAGATACTAGGTCCACTTGTTCATAGATGTTTGTGTTATAGTGTGTGCCGGTACTTGCCTTTTATCCATTGTGATATTGAATGTAACCCTGTCATATATCGACCTGATGTATTGATCACTGAGTGTTGTGGCCTCTGCCATTGGTCATTTTTTTCACCATTTGCTTCTTGTAGTACACGTGTTTTCTGTATTATAAAAACAAAATGGCAGTATATATGTTACATGTTGAGAGTGGCAAAAATATACATACTTATTTATTTTTATGAAACGTTCATGTTTCATGAATAAAAAATCAACTCCATGGTTTTCTTTTTTCAGCATATTGCTATACTGTGTTTGTACAAGACCAGCTGTAGATATGTCAATGAATCAATAAGGTTATTCATAATGGCGACCTAGTCCCTTGGTGAATATTCTGTATCGAAATAAATTTTAATACCGATATATATGTGAAGCTTGAGAGGCAGTACTTTGAAGTCTTCATTATTTTCACCACCGGCTGCAGAAACAATATGACGGAAAGCAAATGAGTTTCAATTCTTACCGGCATATAGTTTTAGAGAAATAATATTTTGAAACGCATCTCATAGTTACTTTTTCAGCATTTGTCCGTTTTGGTTTGACTTCAATAATTGCCTATATTATCTTTTTTGTATTAACTAAAGCTTTATATTCTAGGATAGAGTAAACTTTCATCTGCAATTTGAGCATTTCTTAAAAGTGTACAAATTTTCACAGAGTGGTATTCCATGCTATCTTCGAGTTTCTACTGGTAGACGATGTTTTGCTGTACGAAATTTTAAAAGTTTTTTCTTTCCCTAAATTTGGGGAAAAATCAGTTCATCAGTATAATTTTTAAGTCCAAAAATTTAAAGATTCTGTAAACTTGACCTCACATCACTGGATCATCTTTGAATAAATTGATCTTGTAATATTTGCTTAGAATTCAGGTTGTTGACACTCTGTTCGTGTCATATATTTGATACACCACACATATACTACAGATTTTCTTTATGCAAGCTAATCATTTGAGCTTATTAATTTTTACATCACAAAACAGTTTTAATTTTATTTTGGTGGGCCTGAAAAGAAGCTTTGCCCAGTTTGAAATCATTCTACAATAAAATGTATTTAGGGAAAAACGTTCTGTTTTGCCATTAGACCATGTATGCTGGCGCGGAACTTTTCACGTTAAATACATGTTTTAAAAATTTCAAATGTAAACTTTCAAAAGTTCCGAAACTTAATTGAACATCTACAGGACACCGGAAATTCCGAAACTTTATTTAACATCTACAGGACACCAGCAATCATCGTCCAAAAGATGATGAAGCTTCTGCGTAAAATGTAAGAAGAGTTCTGGGAACCAGAGTTTAGTAGAAAAACGTCATGTTTTGACCCACATTTGACCCCAACGGTAAAATGAAAATTCCGAAACCTTAATTGCACATCTGAAGGACAACACCTATCATATCCCACAAGATTAATTGGTTACTGCTTAAAATAAAAAAAAAAGGAGTCTTGGGAAGAAGAAGAAATTGTGAGAGTCGGATAGATGGACGGATCAGGGTAACAACAATATTAATATACCCGAACTTTCTTCAGAAATTGCGGGTATAATAACCCCAAAGTATGTAGGAAAACATCTTTAAATAATATCCTTTCTGAAGTACAGCAGGGTCAGGATAAGTCATATTAATATGAAAGCAACCTTGGGTAGTGTAGATGTAAGATTGTTTAAATCTTGGCCATCGGGGTTAGAATTGGGCCACAATAGGAAATAGAAGTTTTACATGAGAATAGGGAATAATCGAAAAATTTGCAAAACAAAAACAGGGCCAATAGTATAGTCATATGAATAAGCATCCTCATGATTGATTGATTGTATGTTGTTTTACGTCCCATTCGAGAATTTTTCACTCATATAGAGACGTCACCATATACCGGTGAAGGGCTACAAATTTGCACCTTTACTCGGCACTCAGGGCCACTGAGCAGTGAGGGACCTTTATCGTGCCAACGCCTACCATGACACGGTGCCTTGGTTTTTAAGGACCTGCAACTTTCACTTCAAAGTGCTGAGCGCTTGGTGAAGGAACAGTTAATTGCTACCTATTTTTTAATCGACTTAGGTCGGTCGCGGCCGTGATTCGAACACACGACCTTCCGATCATGGAGCGGGCGCTCTACCGACTAAGCTACCGTGACGGCAAGCATCCTCATGAAGTTTAGATTCAAGATCATTCAAATCATAGCCACAGGAGTTACATGTAAGATGGGTTCACATCAGGAGATCAAATCTTTACATGGGAATATAAAGGTGATAAGTGAAAATTTCTTTAAATACTCTTGAAGATAGCAAAGCCATAATTAGTCCTATAGATTTCCAAGCATGCTCAGGTAGTGTAGACTCAAATCATGGCCCCTGGAGGTTGGGTGGAGCCACAATAGATAATCAAACTAGCATGTGAATACATACAAAATATAGGGGGAAATCTTAATTTAATCTGAAAAGAGCACGGCTATGACAAGTCATATCAATATACAAGCATCTTCAGGAAGTATAGATTCTTTTTTTTTATGAAATCATGACACCCATCGGGGGGGGGGGGGGGGGGGGACAAGAGCAGCTTTAAGTTTTAAATGGGAATTATTTTTTTAATATAGCAGCGCTATGATTAGTCATATATATTTGCAAGCATCCCCAGTTTCTTTCAACTAATGACAGTAGTGGCATTGTGGCGTTTAAATCTTATTTGTGATATGACCCTTGAATAACTGAACTTTAAATATTTCTCGGAGGGATACGATTACATGACATAAAAGTGTATTCGTAAGGTAAAGTGGGTCTCTGCTCATTGTTTTGTTAACTGAAAAATGTATGTTTATACATACTTTCAAGAATTGATTCTTAAAAAAAAAATGGTGCAAAAACACAATCATAATTATAGGGGGAAAGTTGTGTTATTGTATGAAGAATTAATCATTTTTGATCTCTTTGGTCTGCGCATGCTGTTTTATAGAAGAATAATTTCAAAACTTATAACACTGTTGCAAATTATGGTGATTTTAAATAAGTACGTATCAATGTTATGATAAATAAATATGTATCAATGTTAACTGAGATATGATAGAAAATTTTATCACAATTTAGAAATTAATTTTTTACCATCTTATTTGTTGAACCATGTAGGCATTTTTCTCGGCTAATTAGCCCATCTTCTTTATGGCACATATTATAAACCCAAACACTTCAATTCCTTTCTTCTTGTAGTAAGCATATTCTTATCAAAATACCACAAGATATGTTATGACAAAGGCACATGACGTCATGATTTTTTTTTTATGATTGATAATGGTCTGCACTTTACAACAGATTATAAATTTTGCTCCAGCCATAGGTCCAGATTACTTTATTTGAACTTTGGGACAAAATCTCCAATTCGCTTTCGTCAGTCATCCGTAAAAAGTTAATCAAACTAGTTAAGTATTTTTGTATAAAACATGTTTAGGTGTACGGGGATAAAATCATTTGTCCGAGTTAATTAATATTAATACAGACAACGATGAAAAGGGAAAATATTAGTTTACATTCTTAAATATGAATGAATGAATTCTAAGATAATAATATCATATGAAGAAGATGCTTTCAGGCTTAAGTCTGTCTGTAGCCTGCTGTTCATAAATGTATGTTTTCATGTCAGTTCAATTAACACTAATATTAGACGTGTGAGACATGCAAAGCTTAAAATAATATCATAAACCACCCAATTTATATAGCAGTAAAATAAAACTTCTAGAAGCACACAATACAATACTTATCTGGAGCAACGTCCACCGTATGATACTATCAAACATTGTAAAGAACAGAGGTATAGTGTGGGAAATGCCTACAACTTAGAGTGTAGAAAAGGTAAATTCAGGTTGTGAATAAAATATTTGGGGCAATGTTCTTATAATTAACAAGTATGAAATTATGACAAACAATACTAAAGTCTTATTCAGTTTTTGTGAGTTTTGTGGAGATTGAACCCAAGCGATAACAATCCTGAGCATTTGCTTCCTTGTATAGACTGACACCTTCACCACTAAACCACACAACTTAGAACATTTGTTGACATTTAAATCTCGAAGAAATGAATTTGTATATATGTAATTTAAATACTACAGAGATACTTTTTTCCTGTAGTATTTATTTACGCTATGTACGCAGTAACAAATACTCTGCCGAAATTTGTCCCAGCGCACTTAAAGTACATTTATGGCATAAAGCGGCAATCTAAGATTTCTAAGATTTCAGAATTTTAGAAATTCTGGGAGAGGTACAAATGTTGTGTCCATAAAAGTGTATTTTTAAGATATAGTGGGTCCTTACTTCATATCTTTTTCCTCCAACCTTAAAATCTATATTACGATATACATGTACTTTAAAAAAAATAGAGCAAAGATTAACTTACGTGGAAAAAATGTGCTCTAGTATAGGGAAATGCTCATTTTTTTGTCTCTCTCTTTGGCGTTTGCATATTACATGTATTTCATAGACGATTAATATTAAGTGCAGTACTAATAAGATTGTGACAACTTATGTGGATTTCCAGTGTAAGTATACAGTAAAGTTAACTGATAAATCAAAAAAAAAAGTTAAATAAAAAAATGTTATTTGTTGAATCGTTGGCATTATTATCAACTTATTCGCCCATATTTCTTTCGTATTAAGTTTAAAATTACATATGCTTAACACCATGTAAGGTTGAACAGAATGTTGAAAGATTGTTTTATTTTATAATCCCACATATGTTATGTAATTCCTAAAATATTTTTAAATTAAAAAACTAAATTATCACCGATAGCTTTTATGAGATTTTGATTTACAGTCTGTTTGTGACATTTTGAAAGGGAACATAAATATGATCGAAAATAATTGAGTTCTTGTAGGAAGATGAGTGGAAAACTTAAATCTCATCCACTCCCAAAGACTGCAAACAGCGTGACCTTTAAATTTTACAACCTAAACTTTGAAAAAATCAATATTGAATAACTGTTTTCTGTCCTCAGTGTTAACTTTTTGCAACAAAATGAATATGATTGAATTATACACCATTTCCATTCACTCAGAATTACATCTGTTTTAATGAAACAGTTCAGCGACAAGCCTTGACCTGGAAAACATTTGCTAGATGCTGGGTGAAGTTCATTTCCCTCTGAAAAGAATCAACGGGGGAAAAGAGAAAACTGTTTTGCACAAGAATTCTCTTTTAAGGGGTCCCGACCCTCTGCTATAAATTTCACCAAGAAAATTTAAAATTTCTAATATTGATTTTCATGAACAACAATAACATTAGAACCAAATGGAAAATAGTTTGATGTATGAAGCGCTGCTTATTTTTTCAGAAACAAATTTTATGTCTTACCATGTTATGAAGAAAATTTGACACAGTGAATAGAAAGAACAATAATTTATTATCACAGCATAAAATTAAAAATACAAGATATATATAAAAATAATATATAGTGTCAAACAAAACAAATTCATGTAAGAAAACATAATGAAGCGATGCTATTTTAGCCAGGATATCACTTTGTTATCTATACTTGCAAGGAAAAATAGTGTCCATCAGCAAGAGTTATCTTTCTTTTCAGAACTTTTCATAATAAAAATGCTACAAATGATACTGTTATTCTTCATTTTCTTTCCCTAATATTAAGGGAAATATTAATATAGATAGGTAGAAAAAATAGCTATCCAATGGATGCAAGTTCAATTGGATGAATGCTGTAAATGTACATCAGATAATGCTGACAAAAGAAAAAGGTTGACAATGTTTGCATCATTTGAAATTGGCAAAGAATAGATATGATCATGATTTAGGAACACTAAACTGATCTTGAAGGAACTGAGATACAGATGAGATTATTTTGGTCCTGTTTGTGACTCTTGCTTTCCCATTTGTTTTCTCAGAAAAGAGAATTCTTATTCCATCATGACTATCTCTATGAAATGCTAATTTCAAATGATGCAGACAAAGTCCTGAATTTGCAATTTTCTTAGCCATGTTTTCTGAAATACATTTACCTCTGACGAGTGGCTGAAGAGAGATGAAATTTTCTTGTCTAAGGGTTTTCTGCCCTAAAACACAAAAAACATATTGTACATTGAATGTATGTGAAATATACTGAGCATCAACATCATTCAACAGATATTTTACAAGTTTCTGTAGATATTTACAGTCTTCAAGAGCATCATGTGCTGAATATTTCTCATTCAAAATAACATCAACAAGTGCTTCCTGAGAATAGCTTTTCTGAAGTGGCAAAATTCCTTTCATCAAGTGAAGAGTGTCACAGAAACCACAAAAACTTTCTTCCAATTTCAAATTTGGCACACTCTGCATAGCATGGCACAGTACAACACTGTCAAACTGTTGACAATTGTGAGCAAACAAAACAGGATTATTGAACTTCTGAAGAAATACCTGGAATTTAGACAGTGCATGTTCCAGTGGATAACATGGTACTGGTTTTCCATTCTTGAACATAGTAGTTCCATCATATGTTATGCCAGTCACTTTTGTTGCTGCTAAACTGATGGGTACCTTCGGTTCAACATATATGGAAAACTCCTCCCTGTTATGCACAGCTTCTATTTGGGTTATTTCTGCCAGACCTGAATAATATATAATAGTGATACTGATGTACATTTGTATACTAATATGAAATTGTGTTTGACTATATTCTTCTCATTGAAAAATTTATTTTCTAGATCTGTTGTAACCTGATTCCTGAATGTAATAGTGTAGAAGTTGATAGTAGTAAAATTTTGTGAGACAAAACTGAATACATGTATATATAAAAAAAACATCATAAAATTACCAAGTCCAGTTGTTTCTAAGTCAAAGTATACATGGGTGTAACACGCTGTTGGTAGTGGTGTCTGTTCTACTGGCTGCATGGGAGAGGGTATTTCTTCTGTAGACTCTGATGAGTAACCAGCAAGGTCAACCGCGGTCTTATAACTCAATCCCTCACGCATTTCTGTTGTGGTTGTTTTATTTTGGCTACTATGTTTTAGCTCATTTCTTCTTCTCTTATGTGCCACAGTCCTCCTCAAACTATCTTCCCTCTCCTTTCTTTTTTTCTGTATGCTGACATGTCTTTCTGTCTGTCGGCCTGGGGACAATGAAAGTTCCTCATGTGTCTGCATATAGTAAAAAAAGAAATTGAAGTTTTAGGGTTGTATATTATTTTCATAAAAAGATTTATATTTATACACAGGAAAAGATAACACACCTGAAGTAAATACTCTTCTCCTAAATTCTTTTGACATACAGCTGCTGCCACTCTGTGGGATGTGCTCTCTGACCCTGAATAAAATCTGTTCTTAGAGTTCTTCACTGATACTAGTCCATTGAAAGATTCATTGCTTTGTGTGCTTCCCAATGTTAATAATTTGTCTGATTTTTCTGCATATGTTGTAAATATTTGCAGCAGTCTGTCAAATAGATCCTGGTTTGACAAGTACTTTCCATAAGGAAGGTTCCGTGGCACATAGGTCTCAGGATGTTGAAGATATCTACACCAAGATACATCACATTTCTGGTGATTTCCATATAAATGATGGGGAATAGCTACAAGGTTTTTTTTTTCAACTGAGCAGAATCTTCATTCCTTGCTATGGCATATGAAAAACACTTCTTTATGTGATTTATAGTTTTTGTACTAATTACCCTTTGAAGTGTTTTATCTTTTTGTAAGGCATAAAGAGAACTTGTAAAGTTCTTTATGGTGTGATTTTTGTCACTACACTTCTGTATAGTTTTATCCACTTCACTTCTAAACTTGGAAATAGTCATCGTGTCATCATCCATTACAAGTGTCTTCACTTCATGTCCTTTGTCTTTGATGGTTGTAAGAATATTCACTGCCATTGCAGGTTCCATTGCCTTAGAACTCCCACTCCAGTTTCTCTTACAATCATGTTGCTGGACAGGCACACTTTTCTTAGCTGCAGCATCACACATCCTACAGCTTGTGCTCATCACCTCATACCCAACAATCTTTTTAGTATTACACCCTACCATGGAGGCATGGCCTATTTTTCAAATAAAAGAAAAACATGTATGTACATTGATTAAAATACTATATTTTGTTTTCAACATCTTTAGAGATGTAAAAAAAAAAATCACAAATGAGTATATTACCTGATTTACTATTGTAATTCCTGCCACTTCCTCTTTTCTGCCATCCTGCATCATAGGAAAGGCTCAATCCATCACTGCTGAAAAAAGTTGTGTAAATAGTATTATTCTATGGATAGAAAATATTGATAAAGAAAAAAACATTTATTGTTGACTTTGTATTACACTGATTTATGTCCATACCTTGATTCCTGAAATTCCTTTTCAAGAGCATCATTACAAGAGACTGTGGCAATCTTTTCAATGGCTGGACCCACTCGTCTTTCAAGTTTTTTCAAATTCCGTGCAGTAATGCATGGAATATTCAACACAGCAAATATGTTTCTGATAATAGCCTCCCCAATGCCAGCATGCAGTAGTGCTATATAAAAAACATTCCTTTTTTTCAAATTTTGTTCATCATGTGAATCTTTTTGACAACAGTAGTAAAATTTAAATAACGAGGAATATAATATTTTGTACTTATGTGTATAACTTGGAGAAAAAATATATTTCACGTAGTAAACTTACCAACTCCAAGCTTTGTGTTCACATGAAAAGGCCCTTGTCCATTTTTCTCCTCATTACTCCTCCCCAGTTGAAACAGTGTTCTTTTCACCACATGGGCATTTCACATGAAAAATACTTGCTAAGCCATATTTTACTTCTTTAGTACACCTAAAACAAAATAATGAAATTATTTATTTTTATTGTGTATATGCACATGCAAATATTTCATAAATAACATGTATTGCCAAATCGAAGAAGTCGAATTATTCGTAGACATGTCTATTGTGATAAAATCATCAAAACAATTTAATAAAAATCAGACATTTTAGATACACGTCGTATAAACTCTGCGTAACAAGACTTTGAATATGATGTAATAATTTTTTTTTACATAAATAAAATAGACTGGGCATAAAAAATGCACTTATATGTCTGTATAGCACTTACCTCGTAAAAGATAATGGCCTTTTACATGCAAAGCAGCCTCTCTGAAGTTGTTGTACAAAGAAAGTGAAATCAATAATTCTCCTTCCTTCAATCTCTAAAAACTCCTCGGTTTCTTGACAAAGATCCTCGTTGTTTACAACGTTTACATTTATGTTATTATCAATTTCTGTTGCAATGTTGTTGTTCTCGTCGGGCTGTGTAAATCCCACCTTTTTCTTACTAAACCTTCCGTTTTTGTACCGACTCAGATTACGCGGCTCCATTTTTGTTTACATCAGCAACAGTATACTTTACGTACCTTTATTTGCAAAAGATCACACAATGGTCTAAATACATAAAACCAGATAAAACGAACTTTCGGATATTTTTGGATTATTTTTTACGCAAGTTATCTCTCCTATCAGAGGGTCATTAGTCCTTAAATTATTGCGTTTTGATCATGATATTACCAAGAACTGATAAAGCAATATGAACCGAAAGAGTTAGAAAAATTAAACCTTGCGATGTGAAATCTAAACAAGACGCCCATGGGCCACAATGCTCACCTGAGTCATATAGCTCTGCTGTTGTTCATCAGAATATATTCCTATGTGGTCCCACCCTACCCCCCAGGTGTCATGATTTGTACACTATCTGAGGATGCAATTATGGATTGCTGTTCTTGAGAAGAAAATTTTCAAATTTGTGTCCCCACCCTACCCCTGGGGTCATGATTTGAACAAACTTGAATCTGCACTACCTAAGGAAGCTTCCACATCAGTGGCTTATCATGGATTTGCTATTCTTGAGAAGATTTATAAAGATCATTTCCTATATATTCCTACCTTTGATCCCCATTGTGGCTTCACCCTTTCCCCCGGGGTCATAATTTGAACAAACTTTAATCTACATTGTCTGAGGATGCTTCCTTTTAAGGAAGCTCTAAACACTAACAAAAAGTGCTTTTTGGACATAGAGAAAAATATATCATATAAAGATATGCATATTGAGACTATTTAGTTCATTCTCAACATAGGGTACCTCCCTTATTTCCGCGGGAAAAATGTTCAAAGACAATGGACTATTCGTGAACAGAAATCACTGTAGTTTACTTACATTGGGAAAATTAATGGGAATAATGAATGCAATTACTTATTCTTGATCTAAAATAATGCTAAAAATATTTGAATCTATTACAAATTGTTCAATAAACTGTAAATAACCATTTTTTTTTATCTTACTTCTAAGGGCAGATCACTCTAACTTAAACTTAAACTTACACTTAAACTACCCTACAAGTAGAACTCTAGTGTGCAGTGTTTAGAGCTTCCTTAATCATTGAATTCTTATTTTTGGATGTCGTCGGTCCGATAACAGCATCTGGTCGTGCCGACAAATTGAATACCGCGAGTTAGGGCGGTATGATAATTCGTCGGCACGGCCAGGTGCTGTTATATATATAGGACCGATGACATCCAAAAACAAGAATTCAAAACTTATATTTACATTCTTTAATTTTCCCTCTTATCAATTGTTAATTTTGTTAATCTCTATTATGAACTTGAATCTACAATATGTAATGAGGGTCTCAAATAAGTTTCCACTATGCTTTTCTGGCCCAGTGGATCTTGAGAGAAAAAACGATAAATGATGCCACCAAATTTCACTAATTCTTTATTATCTCCCCTTGTAAGAGGATGTGGACCTTCATTTCATCAAACTTGAATTCCCTTAAGGATGCTTTATATCAAGTTTTGTTGAAATTAGTCCAGTGGTTCTGGTGAAGAAGTCAAAATTGATAAAAAATTTACAGATGGACAAAATATGATCAAAAAAGTTCACTTGCGTTTTCAGCTCAGGTAATCTAAAAATATGCTCAAATATGTATTCTCTATATAGTTTATGCTGCACTTAGCACACAAACCGTACTGATATAGTTTTATATAATTGGCATGTAGCACACCCACGCGATCACCATTGTACTTTTAATTTGTAAAACAATTATGTTACGCAGTTTTTCAATAAACCACAAGTGTTAACCTTTTCATTATTTTCGACCGTATAAAATTCATATCCCAGTCATGATGATCAGAATTCTTGAAGAATTGATCGTAAAATCGAACTACAGTTCTAAGCTAATGTCGGAAATCATATATACTCTCTCTCAGAAGAAAATCAATTATATTCTCTCTCTCTCTCTCTCTCTCTCTCTCTCTCTCAATTCTTTCCAAGGTACTGAATTTATGTCCCACTCCAAACGAAGTCAACGCAAAACAAGTCAGAGAGGACACCCTAGCATTCTTTCGGAGACTACGACTGAAGGAGCATTTCTCCAGAAAAGACTCCGATGATGATTCGTACGACTTTTCTCAGTACCTATTGCATGACCTAGAGAAATATAAAATCTATCGGTCTAAAAGTGACTGGGAACCTGCACCAGGCAAATGTGGAGCCCTTGAGTCGAACATCAACGCCGTTGAGTCAGACATTGAAAAACTCCTTTCAATGCCAGACAGGGTCCCCGACAATTTAAGTAAGGAAGAGAGATCCGCCTTACAATCCATAAAAAATGGGGATTACAGAGTGATCAAGAAAGCAGATAAAGGTTCTACAGTAGAAATTCTTGATAAAGAGACGTACATGGAAGAGACCCAGAGACAACTCTCAGATGAATGTTTCTATAAAAAAAAAAAAACAACTGGAATCTGACCCAACTAAAGAGTTCTCGGCCGCAATCACCAAAACTCTTGACAAAATGTTCAAAAATAACGAAATTGGTGTCAACGTCTATGATACTCTCAACCCTCTTGACTGTAAACCAGGACAATTTTACCTGCTTCCAAAAATACACAAAGAAGGTATGCCAGGTCGCCCTATAGTTACTGAGAAAATTTCTGAGTATATTGATTTACATTTCCATCCGCATGTGGAAAAATTGCCATCGTATCTCAAGGACACCACAGACTATATAAACAAGACTCCCTCCACTGATCTTTCAGATCGTACCCTTCAAGTCTCATGAATAAAAAATCAACGCCATGGTTTTCTTTTTCAGTATATTGCTGTACTGTGTTTGCACAAGACCAGCCATAGATATGTCAAGGAATCAATAAGGTTATTCATAATGGCGACTTAGTCCCTGTGTGAATATTCTATATCGAAATTAATTTTTATATATATGTGAAGCTTGAGAGGCAGTTCCTTGAAGACTCCATTGTTTCCATCACCGCCCGGCTGCAGAAACGTAAATGGGTGTCAATTCTAACCGGCATAAAGGTTTAGAGAAATAATATTTTGAAACGCATCTCATACTTTTTAGCATTTGTTCGTTTTGTTTTGACTTCAATAACATTACGTCTAAGAGAAAAATAATTGCCTACATTGTCTTCTCTTATATTAACTAAAGCTTTATATTCCAGGATACAGTGAAAATCATCAACAATTTTAGCATTATTAAGAAGTGCATTTACGAAATCTTTCACAAAGTGGTTACCATGCTACATGTTTCTTCGAGTTTCTACTGGTAGATGTTTTGCTGCACGAAATTTTAAAAGTATTCTTCTAATTTGGGAAAAAAATCATCTTATCAGTATAATTTTTAAGTCTAACGTTTTGCTTAAAGATTCTGTAAACTTAACCATACATCACTGGACCATTTTTGAATAAATTGATCTAGTAATGTTTGCTTAGAATTGAGGTTGACACTCTGTTCGTGCCATATATTTGATACACCACACATATTACAGATATTCTGTATACAATGAAATATGTGGAAATCACGAACAGGATTCAAGCTCAAAAGTCCATTAAACAATACAAAATAGGAG